CGTCTACTCCACCCCCCCCCCCCCCCCGGACCCTTTTCCCTCCTCACTTTTGTCTGTAAGAAATGCTCCTTGGAGCGCGACCGAAGCGAGGGTCGCTTTTTCTGGTGCTGATGGTGGTGCTTGTGAGCAGCGGCTCCGGCCGCATTGGGTGTTGGGTCATAACGTTCGTATCGAAAGTTAAGCAAATGCGACAAGCTCATGGACGGGGTTAAAAAACGGGGTGAGAGAAGGGAAGCCGGTGTGTGTCGTCTTCAAGACAACAACAACGACTGCCGAGAGTGCGCGCGGGAGCGGGCAAATCGAAATCCGTGACGTCTGTGGACGCGGTGCAAGAGCTTCGGCACAGGCACGACGCAGGGCAGCGCAAGGAAAACAAAAGGGAAGCGAGGACGCCAAGGACAGCACGTAAGAGAGGATTGAGCACCTGGTAGGAGGGCGAGTGATGGCGGGGACGGCTTCATGAGGTCCATGATGAGAAAGGAGGGCACATAACCGGCCTGCCGCCTCAGCGCCAATTGCATGAGTTTCAGCCCTCACCGGTGCCGCATCCCGCTTGTCGGGTAAGATTTAAGCGTTAAACGGGAGTCATTGGCGGCGGCCCCACAACCTCGTCATGCACGCTGAGATCCTTGCCTTCCTTTCCAACTCGAGTCCCCTCCCGTGACCTTCTCGTCTTCCCTCACCTCCCTTTATCCTTACCTGGTCGCCACGCAAAGGGACAGGCAAGTGCACTAGATAGCTTGGCGGGCAGTATGACAAATTTATAAGTTGTCACACACTCTTTCTTGGCGGAAAGCGAAGCGTTGAACGTGTGCCACCTGGAGGAGACGCACGCGTGAAGTTGGGATGGCCTGGGCGAACCCTGTGAGATTCAAAACCTGTGCTAAAGCGTGGTGGGAGCACTAGCCGATTACCGGAGCAAGTGCGATCTGTGGGAAGAGAAAAGCGTGCAATGGAATCAACGCGGAGGTAAATTAGGGGGTAAGCTGTGCCAGCGGTCTCAGTCATAGCTGACAAGAACACTCAGGCTGGAGTCGAGTCCACCTCGAGCCCCTGAACGCGGCCGCCCTCGCCCACGTTAAGGCCGCGGAGACTCTCAGAACACAGTCGCACCCTGGAAATGCGTGACCAAGGACACAGTAGGGCGTCGTTCTCTTGGGAACAATTAAGTATGGGGGATTTCCTAACCTCGCACGTCTGCAAAGTTAGAACTTCGGGTGGAAAGTCCTTGAAAAGAAAGCAGTCGACTCGTTACTATTAGGTGCAAGAGCCAGGCACCCTAACGTAAATGGCCCAACGAGGCTCACAGTCGCGACCGGAAATCACCTGCGACTAGAATGCATCTGGCGGCAACGAGTGTGTCCCCGCGCGAGGATGCACAATCATGCCAATGGTCTTTTGGTGCCCACGTGCCTGGGCTACGGCGGCGTTGGACGTTCCGTTCCGATCTTCCCAGCCTCCCCTGATCATTGGGCGGTGGCATGACCATGTGGACATGCCCACGCGGCGTGCGACCCCAAGATTTGGCATGGCCCTGCTACTTCCTAATGAAATATACCTCCAATACGCACTTAAGTAAGAAAGAAAGGACCGAGAAATGTACCAGTTTGTTTTTTTTCCTTGCGGATCGCCTAGTCTGCCAAGCTCCCCGACAGCGAGGACGACGCACGAGGCACTCGGAGACGAGCTCATCGACCATAGATGTGCTCCCTGCGCTGTTACGTTTCAATTTCTCAACCGATCTCCGCTTGACAATCTTTAACAGACCTAGGTTTCCGCTCTTGGCGCCGGAATCTGCCACTGCACGAATGCCGCCATCACAAGCACATCCTAGTAGAGAAACAAGCTTCTCCCCACCTACCCTCCTCCTCCAGCTCCTCCTTCTTTTCCCGTCCCTGCTGCCCATCACGGCTTTCCTTACCAGCCCCCTGTATAAGTCCTATTCTTTTCCACCCATTCCGTCCGTGGGCGCGTCTCCGATATCGTATACGCGTCAGCCCAGCCGCCTCATCCTCTCATCCTGGGTCGATACCAAGGTAGAGATCGAGGTGCCAGCCACGCCCGAGGCGTGTTATGCGCTGTACTCTCAGCTCGAAGAGCACCCTCGTTGGAGCCCATGGCTCAGGTCTGTGCAGTTTCTCGACAAGGTGGAACGGATTTCGGAATGGACGTTGGAGTCCCGTGGCTTCACTGTGGCGTGGAAGGCGCAAAATACGATCGAGGAACCCGGGCGGCGCATCTCCTGGGAGAGCAGGACGGGTTTGCCTAACCGGGGCCTGGTGACATTTGAGGAGCGGCGGCCCGGGATGACGAGCATGGCCTTGACCATCTCATACAGTGTGCCCAAGCCCATCGCCAAGCTCGGGGACGTGGGTCTGGTGAAGAGGTACATCGAGAGCACGCTCCAGAGCGACCTGACGAGATATAGGCAGGTGTTGATGAAGGAGATACGCGAGAAGAGGATAGAGGCGAGCGGGGGGCTCGACGAGTAAGACAGGGTAAGGTTGGGGGACGAAGGGAGGGAGGAAGGAAGGGCCGGGGGAGGGCTTGGTGAAAGCCTTGCCCGTGGCCCTCGGACTCAGCAGCATGAGGCGCCCGGGAGGGAAGAAGCCGAGTCAAAAGGGAGCAAATTGTGTCACAAAAGTTTCGGTGGCGCTTTGGCGTCTACGCGTTCGTGGTGGGCAAGGAACGGCAGAGGAGCAGGAGCGATGGAGGGGAAGGGTAAAGAGAGAGGGCAATGAAGGCGATTGAGACAGCTACAGTCACAGCGCGCGCGTCGTTTTCTCTTGGAGGAGCGTGTTCAAAGCACCTGGACATGTCTAGGAATGAGGAGCTGGGAGGGAGGCTGGGAAGGACGAGGGGGGGGGGAGAGAGGGGCAAAAGGGGCGGACCGAGGCGGCCAGGCAAGAGGAGGAAGGCACGTCAAGGACGCCGTCGTGGGCTGGGCGGCAGGCACAGGGTGTGCGACTATGAGAAAACCAAGAGCTATGCGTACTTGGTTCGTGTCTGTGTACCCTGACTCCACTTCTTCAGACAGGGCGTTTCTCTCCCGATCCCTCTCACCGTGGGACGCGGACCCCCCCCTCGGCGCGCTCTCCGTGCCCTTCCCTCCCCCCTAGCCCCTCTCATCCCACCCCGCCGTCCCCTGGATGCACGCCACGCGTGAGTCCTTACAAACTTACTGTCCCAGTCCCCTCTCACTCCACCAAGCCCATCCTTTCCATATCTCCCTCCCTCCCTCCCTCCCTCCCTTCTTCCCTCCCTACTTTCCGCCCCCCGGTCCCTCCAAATCCTCGTCGCGCAAGCCGCCCCCGCCCCCCACCCCCATTTCCTCCTCCTCCTCCTCCATCATATATATGTTGTCGGCCATCTGCCATATCTGCAGTATGTTGTCCTCCGCCACGCTCGCCACCACCCAGGGGTCCTCCTCGTTCCAGGCCAAGTCGCTGACCTTGGCCGTGTGCCCCCCGTGGATGAAGAGTAACTCGGGCGGGCCGTCCGCGGCGTCCTCCTGAGACTGTTCCTCCCCAATCTTGGCAATATCCCACACGTTCACGCGTCGGTCCGCGCCGCAGGAGGCGAAGACGTTCTCGTGGAATGGCGCCCACTTGACCTGGAAGACCTCGTCCTCGTGGCCCTCGAAAGTATGCAGAGGGGCACTCAGACTCCGAAGGTCCCAGAGCCGCACGCTCCGATCCGCCGAGCCCGTCAGGAACAAGAAGTCCGAGTGGGGGGAGAAGGAGAGGCAGTTGACAAAGTCCTCGTGGGCCCCTGCCCGGGCGTGGGAGGGCTGGCTCCCGCTTTCCCGGACGTCCCAGAGCGCCAGGCTCTTGTCGTCGCTGACGGAGCCGAAGAGATGCGGGTGGGCGCTGTGCCATGCCACGTCCTCCACCACCGAGGTGTGCCCCCGGAAGACTCGCACCTCCTCCACCATCCTCCCCGCCTGGGTCATGTCCCAGAGACAGACGCGCGCGTCGTCGCTCCCGCTCAAGAGCTGCCCGGGGGCCGCAGGCGACCAGGCCAACCCGTAGCCCTCGCGCGCGTGCCCTTTGCAAACGTGCTCGGGCCGGAAGCTGTCGTTGGGTCCGGGGGCGGACGGGTGTTTGGTGATGTCGAAGACGAAGACGTCGGCGCTCGGGCCCTTGGTGGCGACCACGAAGGGGTTCTGCGGCATGTATCGGGCCCGGTTCACCTCCCCCTCGTGCGCGATCTTCACCTTCACCTCCACCTTGCAGTTCATACCTCCGAAGCCCCCCACCTCCCCGCGTTCGTCCTCGTACTTCTTGGCGTCGATCTCTGTGTCCGGTAAGGGCAAGTTCACGTTGGCTTGAATTAGGTAGTTCTGTTCCCCCGCCGCGGTGTGCGTCCCAAACAAGAGCTTGTGCGTCGCGTATTCAGGGTTGTTCTCCGCCGTTTTTACACCAGGAAGCCATTGCACGGTCAGTGACGGCCATTCCAGGGCGTGTGTCATGACTAGGTCGTAAAGAAATGGGGAGTTCTTTTTCCAGATCCTGCAGGCACCCGGGAGAGGAGGAAAAGGATGTCGAACAGGGTCAAAGGCCACGACAAAGCAACAAGGAAATCACGACGAAAAATACCAGACCAAAACAATAGACGAAAGAGCGTACATTGACAGGTGCACGGTGGGATAAAGCAGAAAGGTTGAGGAAAGGGAGGGGTAGGAGAAAACACCGCGTGCTCCGCCCCAACCACGCGAGCCTCCAAGCCAATTGTACGGATCAGTCATCCTACTGAAACAACGTACTTGTACTCCTCGGCAATCATCTTGTCTTGAGCCTCGTCTTGCCTCTCCTGGTCTGGAGCGTCCGTCTCCGCCATGGTGCTGCCTCCTGGCTCTTCGCACGCACTTCCTTTGCCTTTTTTGATACAGAATGATTTTCGAGAGGATATATGAGCAGAAAAGTATGACAGACTGGATCGCTGTGCCGCCATAGGGGGTGTGCTTGCCCTTGAGACGCGATTTTTGCGTTGATCTCGCTGGCTTTCTATGGCCGAGTTTCGAGTCGCCAGAGGGGAGAAAAAGCGAGGGAAAGCGATTCGCAGAGACAGCTTGAGTGTCGCTGGCCGCGCCTAGCACCGGAGGCACTGCAACCCAAAAGGACGCAGGACATCTTGCAAAATAGACAGCCACAAAACTCATACGGAAATTCACTGCATGGCATGTGAGCCGCTGATTTGACCACAACGCGCGAATGACTCTCCTTTCCCGACTGTGCAGTTGGGCAAGATGATGACGTACCCCTTTCCAATCACATTTGTTCTCCTTTCCAACAATAATATGACAAGGCAATACCAGCAGTTCGCATCTACCTCGAAGTACACTATTTAATTAAGCTGGTGCTTGCCACGCAAGGAGCCAAACTTGGCTGGGTGCCTATCCCTGTCCAGGATATTCTTTACAGCGCATGAGAAGTGATCGAAATAGCGATGGAGGGTTTGCTGAATATGTATGACACCTCTGACGAGGACGGGAATAACAGTGATGCGGAGGCACGCAACAAGGCCGTACTTGACGACAGGGTTTCCTATACCCCCCTTTTCCTTGGAACTGCCGCCCGTGCTGATCCTCCCTCCTCACCTCCCCGTAAGCAACCCGTTTTGAATTCCTTTCATCGCGCTCAAAGAGCCTTGACGACTGTCCAGAAGCGACCCCGTCCCTCCTTCAACTTGCCAGGACCCGATCAAGACTTCTTCCATGTCTCGGCAGAACACGTGTACACCACGGTATTGACCAACGGGAAACGCCGAAGCCTTCCGGCCCGCCGAGCTCCGTCGTCCTCCTCCTCCTCCTCCCGCTCCGACGGCCAGCCTCTTGCCTCGGTATCCACCGTAGATTGGATTCGAAGCGTCCCGCACTTTGAAGGGAACTGGGCAACGCACGTGTACGTCACCGTGCCCAACACCAGGGAGGTGGTGCGAATGGCGAAGGCATGCGTTCAGGAGGCTCGGCGGCGGTTGAGGAATGTCCTCGGCACCGAGACAGGAGGCGAGGAAGGACGGCAAGAAAAGAAGGAGCTGGTCGAGAACGACTTGAACCCGATCCCCTCGGCCGACTCTTCGGATGAAGACGAGGAGGAGGAGGAGGGGGCGGGGGAGGAGGAAGGGAGAGAGCGCCGACATCTTCCTTCGGACCAGGAGGCGTCCGGGCAGCACCTCAGCCTCTCTCGCACCGTCTATCTCCGCTCTTACCACATGGAGCCGTTCGTGGCCGATCTGGGCAAGGCCTTGGCGTGGGCCAGGGCCTTCACCTTCAGGCTGGCCTGGCGCCGAGGACGAAGGGGGGGGAGGGTTTGCTCGTGAACGATGACAGGTCTCGGTCCTTCGTGACGGTGCCTGTGGAGGAAGGGGGGAAGGGCGGCTCCGTCAGCTGGTGCAGAGCGTGGACGAGGTCTTGGTCAAGTATCGGCAGCCCCCTTACTACCGCGGGGCCCTTTTCCACATCTCTGTGGCCGCTGTGAAGGGAGACGTGTCGGAGGCCTGGGAGGCGGGGGCCCGGGCGGGGAAGGGGGAAGAGGAGGAGGAAGGGGAAGAGGAGGAGGAGGGGGAGGGGGAGGAGTACGCGGCATCGGTTAAGGTGGATAGGGTGGAGTGCCGTATCGGACATAAACTGTACGAGGTCAAATTGAGAGAGTAGGGGGGCAGGCCGGGATGTGTGGCTCGAGTGGCAGAAAAACGGAAAGGGAGAGAACCTATAAGAGGAAGTAGAAGCGGCATGGCGGGGGGTTGAATGAGGACTTCTGGATGCAGGGAGGGGCTAATATGGTCCAAAGATAGGTGACATGATGGCGACACAAGCACCATGTACATCGATGCCGCCAACAATGTAAAGAAAGCCTTTCAAGCCGCGTCACGGCCCTGCTTATTGCCCCTCCCTGTCTCCTCGCTATGTGGTCTACTTCTTCTTTATGGGGTTCCCCCTCCCGCCGACAGCGCCTCCGCTCGCACGCCCCCGCTCCCTCGCGTCCCGTCCTCTATCCCCCCTCTATACCATGCTCACATTCAACAAGGCAGAGCGGGCATTCATCGCCCGCGCCGCCTGCGTCAGCTCCAATCTTCCCCGCGCGTCTTGCAACCAATCCTCCACCGTCCGACCCGCCAACCCCCCCAGCCCTTCCAGCTCCTGCACTGCCTCGGCTAGGTGCCCGCGCTCCACGTGGTAGGCCGCCCGTGCCAGCGTCTCGTCGGCCCCCGAGCCTTCCACCAGACCCCGTGGCTGGATGGTGACGGCCGCTAGAAGGCCGGCGAACATGTGCCCGACCATCCCGGGGCTCGACTCGGGGACGAAAGCCGCCTCTCGCGCCGCTTTTTGCACCATGGGGAAGCGGACCTGGAGCTCCGACGGGGTGAGCACACCCTCGGAAGCCGCGGGCGGAAGGCCGGCGAGCACTGCGTCCAGCACAGGGTCACCCTTGGTCACGTGCTGGAGGGCCGCGATCTCCCTGCGTAACGGCTGGGAGCTTTGTAACGCCAATTCAAAGGCCAGCAAGGCGGCGCTCACCCTGTGCACCTTCCAGGACACGTGTTCGTAGTCCGTGTCCGTCTCAAAAACCGCTTCCAACGCCTCCACCTCTCCCTTGAGCCGCCCCAGCTCCTCCAACCGCCCGGCCAAGGCGGCTTGGTAGCCGGTCTCCCTCTCGTACAGGACGTTCTCTAGCTCCCGCTTGGCTTGGGCCTCCACCAGGGCCCGATCCTGCGCCCGCTCCTGCTCGAACGCCGCCGTCACATTGGCGGTAAAAGAGCGCATCTCCTCCTCTAAGAGCGTCTTGCATGCCTTGTCCTTCTCCTCCATCGCCTTCAACAGCGCCACTTGCTTCTCCGCCTCTAACGCCCGGCTTTGTCG